AAAGCTACCATTTTATACCCGGCGTATAACGTGCACCCTTAAATTTCGATATCACTTTTTGTGTTAAAAGTGCGCGTTATACGCCGGATTTTACTGTATGTAGAATTCAAGAAGAATCAGCACTGAAAACTCGTTTCATAATTTCAATGCTAATACAAGGAAAACAATATTTTCAAAAGCATTTGTTGGTTTGTTCTTGATTACGAATTATAATTTTTGTATATCGCACTTTGAGCTGATTTTTTGGCTTCACCACTAATATTTATATCAATTAAAAGAGGCTAGTGTAGTCCAGTGGCTGAGAGGCTAGTGCATCGTGCTTCCACGCCACAGGTCCGAGGTTCAAACCTGGCCTGGGCAAGGCTGACTCAGCCTTTCATCCCTTCAGTGGGTAGATAAATGAGTATCAAGCTTGCTTGGGAACTTAACACTGAAGGTTTCGAGTCAGACTGACTACTTGACCGAAATATCTACGCATGCACCTCACAGTAAAATGCCAAAATTAAGACTTTTTGTTTATAGGAAATATATCTTAGAAAAATTAAATAGAACTTAGGTTTTTTTGTGATCTTAATAAAGATATTTTAATCCCTCTATACAAATACAAAAATAATTTTTTAGTCCAAAAAAAATTTTTTTTTTCTGTTTAATTTAAGTTGGACAAAATTTTTGGTACCTCATAATGTATACTTATGTTTAGGTGCCATTTTTTAAAAACGGTATTTCTTAAATATGTTAAATATTTTTGCGCATGTATAAAACAATACATAAAATATAGTGAACCCAGTTTTTGGTAAACTACTCGACTTGTAATTGAGCGGGCTCGGGTTCGAGTCCCGAATAAAACATAGATGTATCTTCGGGGAAAGCAGTCCGACTTTTGTCTGAAATGGACTCCCATCTCGAATGGAAAGCAGTGCACTCCTTCTGTTTTATGCTGGGAACATCATTTGTAATAAAAAAGAGTCTATATTTTCTCCTGTGATTGTATTATATGTTTCTGTTCATCTCTCTTTCGTCTTTCATGTTCATACCAGTATGAAACGCATGGCAGCATGTTTTGATTTGAGAAATCTGTAAAAAGTGTTGCTTGGTAGATAAAACTACATGCAGCCGGTGGCTGCCCTTGTTTTGGATGCCCGCGTGCACTGCACCCTTGTATTATATTTAGTAACTGAAATATGTGCTTAATTTTTTTTTATGCAAGGTCTATTGAAAAACTATCTGCAGTCGTATTTCATATTCTGCTTTTCAATACTTTGTTTTTGTCGTCACAGACATTAAGAAATATTTTTAAGTTGAATACATTTGTGATACCTCCCGACCCGGGGGTATCATCTCTTTATCTAGGCGACCTAGATTTGTAGGAGGAAATAATTGATCACCCAAATTCTGCATAATAAATATAATTTATTATTATTCCAATATATTGGTCCAAGCAACACGTCTTACAATAGAGATGCAATCAGGAGTGATATAACATATTTCAAAATTCTAAGTAAATAGCGCATGGAACCTGACCACTTATCTTTATTAGAAGTTATCCTAAGAATCTCTCTCTTTATCTGCCTTAAATTCCTTAACACGCTATAAAGCCCGTTATATAATTACACTTCTATATTTAATATCTTACCATCAGCTTACGGCGATCAGCCTCTCAGTTTTCTAACTCCTTCCCCTTTTCTACCATTCTACCCCGCGAATGCTAAAGCTCCATTATATATCTGTTAACTAATCTGCATATCGCGGTTCCTTCTTGAGAGGATTGGATATGAAATAACTCACAATTCTGGCCCCAAAGATTCCCCAAGAAGATTAGTGTGAAAATCTGATAACGCCCCGCCACACATTGTTCACAATAACATTATAATGTTTATAACTACGTTAAACTTCCGTGTACTCTGAAAATTTGAAGCTTAAAATGTAGGAGTTGCTCCTGTTTAAATTCAGGTTTTAACATCGAATATGTTGATCTATCAATAAGTTGTTTCTTTTCCTTCATCAAGAAGCCTTTTGGTTTTCATCTCTGAGAAGGTCTCACGGCATCTCTTTGTGGCCGTGGTAACTTAGTGGTCACTATAACGGATCCGTGGCAGGGATATCATGAGTTCAAGCATAGCACCCCCTGAAGATCGTGGTTGGCATGTCGCGCGAGTTCGAGCCCAGTACCACTAAAGACCCGCCATGTTGGGGTGCGATGCACGTTAAATCTATTGAGAACTCAAACGTCCACCCGTTGGTGTGGTAGTTAGGAGAGGGAGTGTCAGCTCAGGTATCGTCCTCATCACTTGAGCATACATTGAATAATTTTAATACTGTTACCTCTAAACTCAATTTATTCCATTCCACTTCATTTAGATTTGCAAAACGTTGCACTAAGGAGAGTAAAATTATTTTGCAAAACTCAGGACCAAACTACAGAATATTCACAATCTAAGCAAAACATGTAAAGAAAAAGAAAACATTTTAGGGCTCTTGTATTATATTGTAATACATGGTTGGGTCAAAAAAAGGTCCCGGAATAAGTCAATTACCAATTATTAAAAAGTAGAGCAATAATTTAATCTTATTGGCCTTCAAAGTAGGTACTGCCCTCCTGCATCCACACACTTGTTGCAACATTCGTATAATTGTTCAAAACACTCCTGAATCCATTTTTTGAGAGGTTTTTCAGTTGCTTTGTTGCATTTTGGATCACCTCATCTGAATTCACAAAACTACCTTCAATTTCCTTTTCAGCCATGGGAAGAGGTAAAAATCCTCTGGTGTTGTAATCGCTTCCGTATGCATTCTTTAGCATCTTGAGTTTTATGGAAGGTGATTTCTCGCGCAAAACACAGAATTTGATGTTTGCACGCTGCTACAGACGATACTGCAAATCCGACGAATCAAAATTCGCTTTGTCAGAAATTACCTATCGCCAATGCCAACAGTACAGGAAATAAACTCCAGATGACTGTGTTGTTGTTGTTTCAAATCCCCTTGGAGCAGGAAAGCCTACACCAAGTCCATTTGACCTTTCCGAATAAGAATGTCACAAACCAGGTCTTGATCTCCAAACAACTGTTCCAGGGAAATGCCCCAGCAGTACAGAAGATGAGCAGGTGAAGCAGGGAGAGAGCAGGGGATAGGTACTTTACCCCCTGCTCAAAGGTCATACCACGCAGGTGACCACTTCTAAAGCGCGCCAAGTCCGTATGAGGAGCCCTGGATCTCCTGCACTGTAGAGATGGATGCGCATTTTCCGTATTAGTATTGCCAACCCTTGAAACAAATAGTTCCCCACCAACGAGCACCTGCGGGAATGTAGGGAACTATTCCGGGAACTTTTTGATTCTAGCAGTAAAAATAGCATGCACTTACTAAAAGGAGGCTGTCCGACGCTGTATCTATTTATTAGACCCTCTCCCAAGGGACATTAAATCTGAGTTGGGGAAACACAGCCCAAGATCCTATGTGTGGTCATACAAACAACATTGAGGACATGAATTTACTTTGTATACATATTTATTGTTTTCTTTTTGAATTTTTATGTAGACACGTGGAAACCCTGAGTGTGCTTTAATGCACCCTTGAATATCGTAAAACACTGTTTGAAGATCACAGCATTTTTAAATGAAGTCATAAAAAGAAGAATGCTGTTGGGAGTTTATTTCATTAGACTTGGTCGTAGACTTATCTTTCTAAATCGTTAAAGAGTTCAGTGACAAAGTGGGGTTCTTAAAAAAACGTAGAGTTCACTCTATGTGTGAAATTTACTATGTAAAACAGTGTTTCGCAAACTGTGGGGTGCTCCCCCCCTAAGGGAGCGTGATAGCTCTACGACTGGGTGGTGAGCATATTGAAAAGTCGAAAACAAATTATTTAAAAAAAATTATTAATCTACTGAAAGTAAGCAAATAAAATACATTCTGACATAATAAAAAATAAAATACACATTTACATTGATATAATACACTTATAAATGTAGCAGTGCTACACAATATATTTTATAATTAATTTAACAATACTAAATTAAGAACCAGTTTGATAAACTCCTTGACAAAACAATTAGCGCACCAAAAAGGAGTCGTCAAAATTAAATGAGATTTTATATACGTAATGACTACTTTGATATAAGTAAATCATAAGAAAATTAAAGAAAAAGGATCATTTATTTCAGAGAAAAAGGAGGAGAAAGAACGGAGGATTTAATACCCTTTTGAACCCCTATGGCGCGAATGCACGATACGATACGATCGGACATTGACGCCTACAAGTTCTGTATGGTGTCATGAGACATTTCGTTCCATATTTGCTGTAACCTTGCTTCTAGTTCGTTCAAACTCGTGGGATGCCCAACTCGTCATCCCAAATGATCCCAGATATGCTCGATTGGAGACAAATCTCGGGATCAAGCAGGCCAAGGAAGGGTAGTAACAGTGCGGAGATAGTCTTGTGACACCCTTGCCGTGTGAGGCCAAGCATTGTCGTGTTCAAAAATGGCTTCTAGGAGTCGTTGCATGAGTGGCAACACATGCGGTTGCAGGTTGCCATGGACATACCGCTGGGCTGTCATGGTGCCATGGATCAATACTAGGAGTGACCGTGTATTGTAGGCAATAGCACCCCATACCATCACACCACCTGTGGGAGCGGTGTGTCGCTGTAAAGCTAAGGCAGGATTGAAGCGTTCACCATGGGGTCTCCACACACGAACACGATTGACATCACTGCTGAGATTGAATCTGTATTCCTCGCTCAAGACGACCTGGTTCCATTCCGCTGCAGTCTAGTTTCCTCATGCGCGGCACCACTCCAATCGGAGGTGGAGATGGGTGCGCGTCAAGGGCAGCACACGTAATGGGTGCCGCGATCCCAAATGTCCTTCACCCAGGCACCTTCGCATGGTTCGAAAAGACACAGGGGCCCCTAGTGAAGGTGCTACCTGTGCCTGGATGGCGGCCGATGAAGCAGTTGACTGTACGCGTGCATTTCTTACGATGTGGTGGGCATCTCGACGACTGGTCTGTCGAGGGCATCCTGAGTCTGGTCTTCGTGTAAATGACATCTCTCGGATCCACTGGTCCCAAAACCTTCTCACACGGCAATCAGAGCGGCCTAATTGACGAGCTACTCGCCTAGCTGTCCACCCAGCTTCCATCATGTCGATGATTCTCCCTCTCTCAAACTGCGACAGCTGCTCATATTGTCTTCGAAAACGGCGTAATGGCGTGTCTACTTCAGCTCTTCTTTGTAAACAATTCAGCACACTCAAACAAGCTTTGGTTACCTGTTTTATACTCCGCGGAGAACGACGTTAAACGCCCTCTACCGGCTATACGTTGTGACGTCTCTCGCGTCTTTCTGATTAACATAACTCCTATGTTCTTTGACGGCCACGATTAATGGCAAAACCTTTCCAACCCAATACCAAGAAGAGAAACGGATCGAATATGTAAATGAGATATACTATAAAAGGATAGCACGGCAAACCTAGAGATAGCGATAGCATAATATAGCGTAGCAGGCTCGGAGGTTGTAGTGTGGAATCATTCTGATCAATAGCGTGATAAAGCTTAGTGTGAAATCTTGCTCATCAAGAATTAACAGTCCGATAGTTTTGGAAAGAATAGAAGCCTAGGATAAAGAAGTTGGAACCTTCG